GTGCGTTAACCTGGTCCCAAAAATTAACGCACTTTGAAAAATTTTTTCAAAGTGCGTAATTTTTCAAAGTGCGTTGTAACAATGCATGGACATAATGAAATATACGGAGATAACGAACTGTTTTCAAAGGTTCCATAAAAAATACAAAAAATAGATGCAGATCAAACACGGACTTCCAAAACATAAGAGGTGGGACCAGGTGCCTTGGAGGAGTGCGCATCTCCTGTCGACGATCACAATTAAAGACGTGTGCTCTTTGTCACGATCGGGAATTAACGTAAATTCCGTCGTAATGGTAAATAATGGACTTACAATTCGTATGAAAAGCGTCAGTCAGCATTTGACTCAATGATAAATTGTATTTGCTGACAAGGCCATTGTATCGACCATAGAACTTACGAAATGATGAGTTTAAACGAGACTGCTTATAGTATCTTGATGCTGTGTTAACGTTTACAGCAAGTGTTTTTGAAACACGTTTTTTTTTCAGTAATCATCTCCTAGCGCAAAGGTTATTACTGTCACATTTACTCAACTTCCTGTACATTTCATTGTTAATCTTGTTGGAGTTTTATTTTTACAATAATTTCTATGAAATGACAACACTCCTAACATATTTATAAGATAATGATCGTGGGAATCTAATAGAAATTCATTAGTTGGCTTGAAGTGACATACGGGGAAAAATATCCAAGGATGCTAATTATTATTAATTTTTTAAGTCACAAAATATTAGTATATAGAAAGCGTTAGATCAACCTTAGGTCAAATAACTAAAGGTATACTTTATTATTAGAATCAAAATTTCAATTTATATTATTAAAAGAATTAATGTGCGAAATCTTATAATCATTGCTCTGAAAAATATAAACATGTTTGCAGTTATTAAACTATTGCTTTAACAATTTATTAGTAATAGCAAAATAAAAAAGATAAAGCTCGCAACACTTCTCTTCTACAGAGTGTAACTATTAAAAAAGATATCTCCAATTCAACATAATACAATTAAAGATCTCTTAGTTTAATTGCTCTATGTGAAAAAAAATCATGCATGCAGTAATTGATTTATTACTTTCAAAAATCGTTAAAAAATAGTGAGTAATTCAACATATTATTTATATACAGGCCTAAATTATTTTTTCACTAGAGTATTAATTCATTTGTTAAGAGCATTTGTATGTTTCTGTATTTTTTTTTTACAACTCAATTTCACTTAATCGACTTACTTGTATATACTTTCTAATCTTTTTTACTCATTTTGTTGCATGATTTGTCTGGGATTTCTGAAAATAGAACATTCTTTGCATTGATAAAATTTCTAGAATTAAATTCTTAATAATGACCGTGGGAACTATTAGAATATAACAACTTATAATTGAACAATCTCGAAGATTTTTCATTGATGAAGTATGAATATATAATATATCCGGAAACTTTCATGATTCTTTGCTGTACACTTTAATGTTTAAATACTACAAAATGTTTTATTTAGTGTATAGAATCCCCTACAAGTAAATCCCTAATAACAAAAATATTGGGGCACACAAGGTCGATGAACATTAAAATCTTATATTCCTATCTTTTTATCTATTTTAACAAAAGTCCATACCTTGCCAAAGAAAAATGCTGATTCTTAGAAGTGTTATCATTTAAAGGGTTACTCTACTTATAAAAAAAAACTTAAAAAGTTATGTAATAAATTACAGTTAATTTTTACATACGTACTTTAAAATGAGTGATTCATTGCATTTTAATTTAAGTAATTTGTTCGAATTCCTGTTTGTAATTTTAAAAAGTATTAAAATAAACAAATGTGTTCATCTGACTTTTTACAGATTCATTTCAGTATTGAATACATTATGTCATTTACCAATTTTCACAATTACTCATGGAACAACCTTCTAATAAATCCCCTCCCAATATCTATATTTTAAAATTGTAATTACTAGAAAGTTACTGCCATAAATGCACAATATCCATGTGCACACATGTAAAACTTTTGTGTAAGATTATGTTCTTTTATTTAGTTCAAAGGGATAATCAAATCGATATCAATATAGGAATGCAAATTAATGAAAGTGAATATTAATTGAAACAAAAAAAACGTTCGTCGAAATTCCTGATATATTTCATTGTGAAAGCCCACAGCAAGAAACTCTTTTCAAGCACATGTTTTTAAATAAATACTGCTGAACATAAATACAAAAACAGGTTTGTTTATTACAGGTCACTACATGTAAAAGAACCCATATGAATCAAAAACAATATGGTGGACCCGGTCTCCACAAACCAAAGATATGTTGTCCGTTGGAAACTCGTGCATCTTTTAACAAAAATTCAGAGGACATGTACCTTAAGTGTAAAATTAGAATGTTTTCAACAAAATTATTTTGTAGATTACCAGATAGGAGGCTAGAAAATATTTTTTTAAAAAGTTATTGTTAATGAAAAAAGCAGTTGCTTTTGATTTCGATAAACCTTGTGTGTGTGAAAAATATATTTTGTCCATGATAGAACCTGATGAGACTATGCCATCTCATGATAGAACAATTGATGTGTATAGTACATGTAAAATAATTATATAAAATGAAAACATTTTTTTTTCTTTTTGTAACAGCGGACATTTTGGAAAATTAAGCTCAATGATCGTGCACATTCCAGTTTTTCCAGTGGTAAGTACAAGATCATGCTGCTACAACTGTAAAAGATGGTGATAACAGTACTAGTACTCAAAGATACTCAATGATAACATAACTAGCACTCAATCTAATGATTTAAGTGACCAAAACAAATCCTAAATGTCACCAAATGCTTAAAACAAATGTTCTAGAAAATGGAAAAAGATAGGAAAACAAACATGGTGTGATTTGACAACATGATGTTATCAAACAATCCGTCACGTCAATGTTTCATGAATTATATTTTACTTACTATAAAATAAAATAACAAGTTTTAAGGACATGCGCAACATACCTTACCTATACTGATTATTTTTCAAAATATTCTAAAGATTAAAGTGCCATCAGGGATGTTCAAAGGCAAAAAATCAGCATCATTACCAGGCGTTTCTGAAAGCTAGCAATTGATGAAAATTCTTGGATGATTCAAAGAAAAATACATAAAAATTATTAAACATGTATTCTAGATGCTTCTTATGTCATAAGTTATTTTAGAAGTATACGACCCAAAATTTAGACATTAAAATGTAGTACACAGTTTCTTCAAGAATTCAAACTCTTCAACTCCACTGGAAAAAAACCCCAAAAAAGACCAAACTATATGTTGCATATGTCCTTTAATGTAAATTCTCGCAATAATTTACAATTGTATAATAATGAAAAACTTTGAACTACATGTATACTAGTACATATATATTTTTCCTGTCTATTATTTATCATAGGTCACATATATCTACATTTTGAAAAAAAAAGTAAAGACATTTGCAGGGAAAAAACCTTTTCAGGCTTATTCAATGTTTTTTTTTTAATTTGAGGAAACTTTTTTTCATGCAAAGTATGCCTTAAAATTTACCTATATAAGGCAAATTCAAGTTTATTCAATGCTTTTCTTAAGGTAGGATTCTTCTCTTGTTTCTAATTAGATGAAATATTCAATGTATATTTGCATATATTTCTTATGTATTTAGGTAAAAGAGATTTAAAAGACCGTATTTTTCTTTATTCATAACAATTGTACAACTTTAAATAAAAATGGTAAATTGTGTTCAAAAACTAGCAGGGACTATATATTTGGCGAAATAGTTAAGTATGGCTTAAACCGTAACATAAAGCAAAATTAGCTACGTCCTAGCTAAGTCAAACTTATGTTAAAGATATTTCATATGAGTCAACCTATGGTTTTTCATTTCATACAGATATATTGCTAAAAGTGATTAGTTAGGGTTTTAATTAAATAAATATTGAAGTTGACGTCCTTGCCTATCGGTTTTAGTTGTGTTAGATTAGATTTCGTATTAACATTATAATTCTGTTAAAAATTATTCGGAATATTTGAGAACAAAATACTGCACGGTCACAACGTGGCGATTTGTGGTTCATTGTAAATGTATGACTTGTTTTCACATGAGATGTTTTCAGTTTACCTTTCGTTACTCTTTTGTTTTGACAAATGTTCACTTGCATTGTTATTCTAGCAGACATGACAAGATATCCGACCGTCTATCCACACTAGTGTACTTGAAATTGAAAATCTAAATTGTTCAAAACAATTTGACCCCACACCCTCCCATGTATCAGCCCATGCATGTCAGCAGCAAAGACTGCAGAGGCTTTATGATATGCTCATTTGTAATTTAATCAAGGGTGCAAAAAAATTCTGGGGATATTTTTCGTATGCCTCCCCTTATCAACAACTCTTTCCCTCTCTCCATGTATTTTACATTACATATATCTTTTACATTTGTATTACTGTTTAGGTCACCATCCTCTTTCTTTTCTGTTTTTTAACTTATTTCATATCATAATTTCAAATTGAACATACAGATTCATGATTTATTACTCTGTTTAATTTATTTCTATAACGATGTGCCACTAATTTCAGACGTATCCCTAAAATTAAATTTTGTATTTACATGTATGCTTTGTTGAGAGTAATACTGGAACCAGTGATCAGTAATTTTCTCCTCCATGGAAAAACTAAATTTCGTAAATAAGCATTAAATAGAAGTACATATTTTCTTTAATGCATATTTTGAATTGCTTCATGGAATGTTTTAACATCAAGAGTCAGCATTAAATAATTCTAGATATATGTAAATAAAAATAAATATACATTAAGTGCTCTACCGAAAAAAGTTTTGCTAAGCATTGCCAAATCTTTTTTTTGTTTTTGTTTTTTTTTTGAATTTGGAGAAATCTTTTTTCATGCAAAGTATGTCTTAAAATTTACCTATAAGGCAAATTCAAGCTTATTCAATGGTTTTCTTAAAATCTGGATATTATCACTGTATACCATCTAACAAAAAAAAAAGCTAAAACTAATTCAGTTTATATATTTTTAATCCTTAAAAGTTTAACTAATGCATCATCATGCTGATGTTTGTAGATTCAATATAATAACAAATCATTTTTTATTACACACTTGATACACATAACAAAAAATATAAATTTTCTTTCGATATTTTGTAATATATAGAAATTCTGTCGTATGATTTATTTGTTATCGTTACTAAAGATTGTGCAGGATATAGATATCTAAGGAAAGAAAATAAATATTTGAAGAAAATAAAAATCTTAATACATATGACAATTAATTTATAAACACAATAAAAGGACTGAGGATAATTTAAAATCAACTTTTACTGAGCTCTTTTTAATAATGTGTCAGAGTCTTCACATAATATTATCTCAACACCAAGAATCAGCAAAATTTGATTAGGAAGCGCAGCTAAGGTTTCTCATATTCAATTTATGTTTTTCAATGTTGCTTTTGCATAAAAAAATTACAATATTAGTTATTTCAGTAACCAACAAACCCACAATATTGAAATAAATGTGTTAGTAAGGTAGTACATCACACTGTAGTCACAATAACAAAGTAATGACTTTGTTTTATCAATACAAGTTTATATCAAAAACACTTATGAATTGCACATAGAATGTCTTATACATGTACAAGAATATTGCATCTATTCATAATAAAATTCATGGAGTCGTAAACTTCAAATTTTTAGATTTCTACATGCTGATGTTAACTTTGGCCTATTTATAAATTAAATACTGGTATATACATGATTGTGTTAATCCTACTTCCAAATTTTCATTTAAAACACTTCCAAGGTTTTTTAGCACTTCTTATTTCATAAATATTTAATCATACAATATCTATATTCCATGAATCAATCTAAAATATATATTTACATACACAATGTACTTAATACATACAAAAAAGAAAAACCTGGAGAGTCCAAGACAAAAATTGACATACATTTGCTCACAGCACATTGTTTTATATTGTCTTGACTGTGCAGCAATTGCCCCTGAATTTACATAGACTTATAACTTATTGAAATACAGAAATGCATTCATTCAATATTTTCAATAATATAGTCATCAGTCATCTTTTAAATAGAACGTAAGAACATTATCATAATGTAATAGAAAAATAGTGTTGTTTGGTTTTCTGTCGATATGAACACATTCACACTAATATGGTCACAGTCCCCACAGAGATGATGATAATACTACGCGTTAATAGGATGAGAGTCTATTAATTAATTAAGTCTAATTAGAACTGAATTCTCCACTGTTTAATATGACTGTCGTGTCCAGCGGATACAATCGTGTCGTTGTTTAACCAGCTAACCCTCGTAGGATGACTCATCTTATGTGCACCTAAAAATAGAATGTCATTTCAGACTTGGCTTTATTCAAACAATGAATACTTTTTACAAATGTTTGTAAATATTAACGAGATTCTATGTTACCTTTGATGATCAGACTGTGTTTAAATATAATGGATTTCATTTTTTTTTAATATGTAAACAAGATTCTATGTTACGTTTACATATAATAAGATTTTATGTTATGTTTACATATTACGAAATTTTATATTATTTTAACATATGTAATGAGACTCTATGTTATTTTTACATATAATGAAATTCTATGGTATATTCAGCAATAATAAGATTTCTATGTAATTTTTATGTATTATTAGTTACACAGTCAGTTAGTGACCTAATACGGATTCATACAGGGTGTGAAATGGAAATCCGTATTGGGCGAGGCAACAATAATACGGATTTCCATTTCACATGTATGAATCCGTATTAGGTCACTAACTGACTGTGTAACGAATTTATCCCGCTGAAGACCTTTTTCAATATTAAAAAAATATTTGGGCATATTATGAATCCGTATTAGGTCACTAACTGACTGTGTTACGAATTTATCCCGCTGAAGGCCCTTTTTCAATATAAAAAATATTTGCGCATATTATGAAAATATTAAGTTTAATTCATTAACAATCAACATAAAAATCGTTACGGTAACAAGAAATTTGACTAAACTACCTACGTAAACCATTTCTTAGCCGCCATTTTTATTTACAATAACAACGCTTCGAACGGAATCGCGTGCCCGATTTTCATATTACTCCTCGACGGAGACGTAATACGGAAAATTTCAGGGCGTCATGTGATCAGCCTTTATCCAATCAGCAATCTACAAATTTGTCTGAAGCGGGATAAAATGATATAGGGCATTACCTTTAATGACCAGACTGCGTTTACTGTGAGGAGCTGTAGGTTTCCACACTACAATACCCTGATCCAGAGAACCTGATGCGAACAGCGAGGAATCGGGAGACCAGGAAATACACGTGGCTCGGGCGGAGTGTGTAGGATCACTAAATACCAGCTGTAAAACAACAGTATGTCATCAATCAAGCCTTTTCACCTCTTTTCCTTGATAAATTATTTATAAATCAAACTTTTCCTACCTCTTCTCCATCATAAAATTTTTTGAGAATTCAAAAAAGTATTTATTTAATAAGTTAGTTTAAAAACATAAAAATAAATTGATAATAAAATTTTGATCTAAATAATCTTTTTTTCACTTTCTATTCAAATTTTTTTTTTTTTTATAAATCTTTTGTTGTGGTAATAGAAATTATTTAAAACACCTTCTAAAATCGCATATTTTCCTGAAATCCCCTGTAAGATAATTTTAAATAAATGATAAATTTCTTATTCAATTTTTGGTACTGACCTCGTAATCGGGAAGTTTGAAGCACCTGACATATCTGTCGGCCCCCGCTGTGGCCAGGTACTCCCCATCAGGTGAGAACATCATGTCCCCCGCCACGCCCTCATTGTCTACCACCTGTATCTCCTGTAGGGCTCCGTTAGATTCACTGATACTGTAAAGGTGAATCTTCTTGTCCTGCACAAATAAAACACAAATCTTTGGTGTACTCTATCATGGCATAAAATAATATGTTGCATTGTAAAGGGGAAAAACTCTTACAAGATTCAAATTTTCACTGTACATGTGTAAAGTTACAAGCACTAGATATATTATTACCGTGGTTCCACAGACAGCTACCAGTGGTCTACTGGGATGCATGGCTACACTGGCTGGTTCATAAGGCACGGCCATAGAGAAGGTCTTAGCTCGGTTCTGGAAAACTACCACCTAAAATATATAAAGAAAAAGGTGTCCTTATTATCTGAAAATACGTGCAAGCTGGCTTCTGGAGTTAACAGAAAAACTATGCATGTAATGTCACAGCTTTATTATTAATTGCTCCTTCTCAGATTGTCAGATTGATATAGAGTACTTACATGTTTGATGCAAGCCACTACCACAAACATAGAGCCTGCTGCCACAGCTTTAGGCATGGACTCCAAGCTATGGGACTCTCTACAACAAAAATATTGAGATAGGCAAAAATGCTGATATTGAGATAGGCAAAAATACAGAAAAATCAATGATTATCAACTATATTTGATAAGAAAGCATTTTAGAATTAAAACAGAGACGTACCCATACTGTTTAGTCCCCACGTTGGAGAACTTGAGGGTGTCGTCCATACTGACTGTGATTAAGTCTCCGTTAGAGATGACCATATCCTGGATCTGGTTCTTATGACTGGTTCCTGTGAACCGGTCATTCTCCCCGGTTCCTGCATCCCAGTAATCGTACCCAGGTTAAGGAAATCAACACAGAAACTTTACATTACATTGAAACCTACGCAGGGATGATCAATATGTTTATACCTGTACAATGGGAATCAACACTGAAACTTCCCATTACATCTGAACAATCAAGCCTCCTTAATATGGGCAATTTTAACTAGTGACTTTGTGTTAATGTGTTTAAGATGTCAATTTATGCTTAATTATCCCATAATTATACTTGAATAGTGACTTTGTGTGATATTGTACTTTTAAGATATCTGGTAAAATATCGAGCTATTCACTCTGTCTACTGGTGATTAGTTATGTATACATGTATAAACAAAAGGATACTGATATGGGAGTCCTGGGCCCCAGCAGCTGAGTAGATAGTCCCCTCACAGAGGGCCATGGCACTGATTGGTTTATTGTGACCCTAAAATAATACAAAGTCAATTAAGTGTTTTCCTTAATGAATACAATCAACAACTCATGTCTTTACTTGTGCTTTGCTTTATTTTTCATTCATCATCAATGGAGCCCACCAATTAAACTGCATTTTCATCATAAGATTTATAATATCACAACCTTCTAACCTATATGTAAGTACTACTAACCTTTAGCACCTTTCTAGATGTGGAGGGGTTGTTGATATCTAAGTAATACTCACCTTTAACACCTTTCTAGGTGTGGAGGGGTTGTTGATATCTAAGTAATACTCACCTTTAACACCTTTCTAGATGTGGAGGGGTTGTTGATATCTAAGTAGTACTCACCTTTAACACCTTTCTAGGTGTGGAGGGGTTGTTGATATCTAAGTAGTACTCACCTTTAACACCTTTCTAGATGTGGAGGGGTTGTTGATATCTAAGTAGTACTCACCTTTAACACCTTTCTAGGTGTGGAGGGGTTGTTGATATCTAAGTAGTGCTCACCTTTAGCACCTTTCTAGGTGTGAAGGAGTTGTTGATATCTAAGTAGTACTCACCTTTAACACCTTTCTAGATGTGGAGGGGTTGTTGATATCTAAGTAGTACTCACCTTTAACACCTTTCTAGATGTGGAGGGGTTGTTGATATCTAAGTAGTACTCACCTTTAACACCTTTCTAGATGTGGAGGGGTTGTTGATATCTAAGTAGTACTCACCTTTAACACCTTTCTAGATGTGGAGGGGTTGTTGATATCTAAGTAGTACTCACCTTTAACACCTTTCTAGATGTGGAGGGGTTGTTGATATCTAAGTAGTACTCACCTTTAACACCTTTCTAGATGTGGAGGGGTTGTTGATATCTAAGTAGTACTCACCTTTAACACCTTTCTAGATGTGGAGGGGTTGTTGATATCTAAGTAGTACTCACCTTTAACACCTTTCTAGATGTGGAGGGGTTGTTGATATCTAAGTAGTACTAACCTTTAACACCTTTCTAGATGTGGAGGGGTTGTTGATATCTAAGTAGTACTAACCTTTAGCACCTTTCTAGATGTGAAGGAGTTGTTGATATCTAAGTAGTACTCACCTTTAACACCTTTCTAGATGTGGAGGGGTTGTTGATATCTAAGTAGTACTCACCTTTAACACCTTTCTAGATGTGGAGGGGTTGTTGATATCTAAGTACTACTAACCTTTAGCACCTTTCTAGATGTGGAGGGGTTGTTGATATCTAAGTAGTACTCACCTTTAACACCTTTCTAGATGTGGAAGGGTTGTTGATATCTAAGTAGTACTCACCTTTAACACCTTTCTAGGTGTGGAGGGGTTGTTGATATCTAAGTAGTGCTCACCTTTAGCACCTTTCTAGGTGTGAAGGAGTTGTTGATATCTAAGTAGTACTCACCTTTAACACCTTTCTAGATGTGGAGGGGTTGTTGATATCTAAGTAGTACTCACCTTTAACACCTTTCTAGATGTGGAGGGGTTGTTGATATCTAAGTAGTACTCACCTTTAACACCTTTCTAGATGTGGAGGGGTTGTTGATATCTAAGTAGTACTCACCTTTAACACCTTTCTAGATGTGGAGGGGTTGTTGATATCTAAGTAGCACTCACCTTTAACACCTTTCTAGATGTGGAGGGGTTGTTGATATCTAAGTAGTACTCACCTTTAACAGCTTTCTAGATATGGAGGGGTTGTTGATATCTAAGTAGTACTCACCTTTAACACCTTTCTAGATATGGAGGGGTTGTTGAAATCTAAGTAGTACTCACCTTTAACACCTTTCTAGATATGGAGGGGTTGTTGATATCTAAGTAGTACTCACCTTTAACACCTTTCTAGGTGTGGAGGGGTTGTTGATATCTAAGTAGTACTCACATTTAGCACCTTTCTAGGTGTGGAGGGGTTGTTGATATCTAAGTAGTACTAACTGAGCACCTTTCTAGGTGTGGAGGGGTTGTTGATATCTAAGTAGTACTCACCTTTAACACCTTTCTAGATATGGAGGGGTTGTTGATATCTAAGTAGTACTCACCTTTAACACCTTTCTAGGTGTGGAGGGGTTGTTGATATCTAAGTAGTACTCTTATTTAGCACCTTTCTAGGTGTGGAGGGGTTGTTGATATCTAAGTAGTACTCACCTTTAACACCTTTCTAGATGTGGAGGGGTTGTTGATATCTATGTAGTACTTACCTTTAACACCTTTCTAGGTGTGGATGGGTTGTTGATATCTAAGTAGTTCTCACCTTTAACACCTTTCTAGGTGTGAAGGGGGAGGGGTTGTTGATATCTAAGTAGTACTAACTGAGCACCTTTCTGGGTGTGGAGGGGTTGTTGATATCTATGTAGTACTTACCTTTAACACCTTTCTAGGTGTGGATGGGTTGTTGATATCTAAGTAGTTCTCACCTTTCTAGGTGTGAAGGGGGAGGGGTTGTTGATATCTAAGTAGTTCTCACATTTAACACTTTCTAGGTGTGGAGCAGTTGTTGATATCTAAGTAGTACTAACTGAGCACCTTTCTAGGTGTGGAGGGGTTGTTGATATCTAAGTAGTACTAACCTTGTGCACCTTTCTAGGTGTGGAGGGGTTGTTGATATCTAATTAGTACTCACCTTTAACACTCTCCTGGGTGTGGAGGGGTTGTTGATATCTAAGTAGTACTCACCTTTAACACTCTCCTGGGTGTGGAGGGGTTGTTGATATCTAAGTAGGACTCACCTTTAACACTCTCCTGGGTGTGGAGGGGTTGTTGATATCTAAGTAGGACTCACCTTTAACACTCTCCTGGGTGTGGAGGGGTTGTTGATATCTAAGTAGGACTCACCTTTAACACTCTCCTGGGTGTGGAGGGGTTGTTGATATCTAGGTAGTTGATAAAGCCTGACAGAGACACGGTCAGGATGCTGTTCCCCTGCCATAAACAACCCACCTGCATGTCGTCCACAGTTTTACCCATCTCAAAGGTTCTACAAAGCATTTAACAGGTGATACTCATAGAATAAATCTATGTTAAACGATCTACAAAGGAACAAAATATTCAACAGGTGAAAATTCATCAGGGAAAAACAATCAACATATATAAAACACACATGTAACATGCATTTAACAGATCTTGTTTGTAAACTGCAAGAACTTTTGTAAAGATAATTTAAACTTTATTTATCAATTAACTTTAATATATAGATTGTGATAGAGTTAACGTTAGAGTTAACGTACTGCACTAATTCTCCGCTGGGGACTTTAAATATTTTGGCTGTTTTGTCTCCGGACACTGTGATAACTTGTGATCCATCGTCATTAAAACACAACTGTAAAGGGAGACAATACAGGTGTGTCACAACACAATTAACTCGAAATTGTTTATATGATCAGGAACTTTGAAAAAAATTAGAAACAAGTCTATTACTATTTTTCTCTCTTTAAAGCAAATGTTGAAATGCTAAATAATCAAAAGAATTTCAAAAATTTAATGCTCTAATTCCACTACTGTACAGAATACTTACAGCATAAATTCCACCATTGTGTGCAGAAGGGGAACCCAGCTCTCCAATTTTTTCAGCAGTTTTTCCATCATATATAAAAGCCTAAAGTAAATGAAAAACACTTTTTAAAAACAGGAAAAGACAATGCTCTACTTAAAAAATCTTTAATTAATAGTCTAGTTTTAAAGCAAATTAATTGCTTAAAAGTATAAAAAATATGCCACAAATATTAAAACAAACCTTTTTGTCAGCACCACCACTAATGAATACTTCTCCTTTTGGGGAATACCTGACTGCATTTACAAAGTTTGTGTGGTCCTACAAATTAAGATAACAACAGTCATTTCACTTTTTTCTTAAAAGTTTAATAAAAAAAAAAAAAGATAGTATTTAAACAATAAAATGCTTTCTTTGTTTGTTAGGCCACCATTTTTTTATTTTTAGGTTTACGAACATCAGAATGAAAAAGTCCCGTAGGAGGAGGAAATAAACAAGAGGCCCCTGGGCCTTATAGGTCACCTGAGCATTATTCAACAACTTCCCAGTGACTGAATTTGATCCATGTTTTAAGCCAGATGCTATAGCATTTACAATTTGGTCATCATAAATATACACTTAGCAGTTCCTTAGTTTGGTTACTTTATACCAATAGGCAAGGTAGGTAGGGATGGGTATCGCTAAAAATTTCGTATCGCGATATATCACGATTTTTCCCCAAAATATCCCGATAATATCATGATATTTTTACCAGCAATTTTTACAATGATTTTTAATGAATTTTCATTATTTTTCTTAAGATATTCTAGAAAAACAAAATTTAGCTTTTTTGAAATTTTTATGTACATAAAATTAATCATGTTTGGATGGTAAGATGCCGTTCTTTCCACCTTTTACAACATTTTTTAGACTTTCTATGATTGTAATTTGAAAGATTGAACAAATAAATGAATAATTTCTGGACTTTATAATATGTACCTAAATACCGGTATTTAGGTCTCCGTATCACGATACGTATCACGCAACAAAAAATCGCGATATACCGGTATACCGATAAAATCGCACATCCCTAAAGGTAGGGGAACAAAAAATGCATTTCAACTAATCAGTAATATTCAGCAATAATCAGTAGTGCCGCTACCACACATGAACCCTTGACTCTTAGGCCTAGATCCACACATTGCACTATTTTTGGAAAGGCATACTTGCTTTTCAAAAATATTTGATTAATACCAAGGAGCACATTTCAAACAATTCATTCATTTTCAGTACATAAGTACAGCCTCCCCCCCCCCCCACTATGGTACAACTGACCCTGGGGCCTTGAAATTTACAATTCTTGAAGATTAGGGATTGCTCATAACTATATAGGTAATTCATCTGCTTAAAACCTAGGAGAAAAGAAGAAAATATTCAAAGATTTAATGTTTTTTCACTATACATGTATAATCAATACAGCCCCGCCCTAACACCAGAATCCCTGACCCTGGGGCCATAAAATTCACAATTTTGGCAGAGGCACTTTTGCTGATCATAACTATGTACTTAGTTAGTTTATTTAATACCCAGGAGTAAAGAAGAAGATTTTCAAAGAATTCATGTATTTCCTCTATATAATCAATAGAGCCCCACCGACACCAGAACCCCTGACCCTGGGGCCATAAAATTCACAATTTTGGTATTGGCACTCTTGCTCATCATAACTATGTACTTAGTTAGTTTATATAAAACCTAGGAGCAGAGAAGAAGATTTTCAAAGAATTCATGTATTTTCACTATATAATCAATAGAGCCACGCCCTAAAACCAGAACCCCTGACCCTGGGGTCATAAAATTCAGTGAATCACAATTTTGGTAGTGGCACTCTTGCTCATCATAACTATGTACTTAGTTAAATTATATAAAATCTAGGAGCAGAGAAGAAGATTTTCAAAGAATTCATGTATTTTCACTACATAATCAATAGAGCCCCGCCCTAACACCAGAACCCTTGACCCTGGGGCCATAAAATTCACAATTTTGGTAGAGGCACTCTTGCTCATCATAACTATGTACTTAGTTAGTTTATTTAATACCCAGGAGTAAAGAATAAGATTTTCAAAGAATTCATGTATTTCCTCTATATAATCAATAGAGCCCCGCCCTGACACCAGAACCCCCGACCCTGGGGCCATAAAATTCACAATTTTGGTAGAGGCACTCTTGCTCATCATAACTATGTACTTAGTTAGTTTATTTAATACCCAGGAGTAGAGAAGAAGATTTTCAAAGAAATAATGCATTTTCACTATATACTTATTTAGCCCCGCCCTAGTACAAGAACCCCTGACCCCAGGGCCATGAATTTCACAATTTTGGTAAAGGACTCAATGCTGATTACAATCATGCAAACAGTTTGACTGCTTGATGTCCAGGAGTAAAGAAGAAGATTTTTGAAGATTGCATTAATTTTAGTGGTTTTTTGCCCCACCCCCCAGGCCCCAGGGGGGCAGGGATCATGAAATTCACAATTTTTGTTCCCCTTCACCCATAGATGCTTTGTGCAAAATTTGGTTGAAATTGGTTCAGTGGTTGCAGAGAAGAAGCTGAAAATGTTCAAAAGTTTACGACCGATTGACGACGAACGACGTACGACGGACGACGACGGACAAAAACAGATAGCAATAGGTCACCTGAGTGACTCAGGTGACCTAAAAAAATTTTTTTTTTTGATAAGTTATCGACTTTTGTACATTATTTTTTCTTCTTTTTTATGCTCTCCTAACAGGCTTCATGCCACTGCATGCCACTGGACGCATAAGGATTACAAAGGGGAAAATAGAACCTTTGTTTATTGCATCATCAACCAGTTGGGGCCAGTGATGTATATATTTTGTTATGTTGGACAAAAAACAGATATTTTCTTTTTAAAAATCAATTTTTCAAAACTCTTTCAATATATCTTCATTTTTGTTTTTCATATGTTTAGGTAAATGTGTAGAAAATGCTCTAAAATATACTTGAGACCTAGAATAATAATTCCTTTCATAAAACAGACAGAGAGTATTGGGGAGTAGGGTGACATTTTTTTTAATTAAGTGTAAAATAATTTTTCTGCCTGCCATACCTGTTTATATTTGTATATAATACTTGTTTTTAACAGTTGAAGTATTTTATTTCTTTAGGCTATTGTTCATTTCTTCCTCAAATGGACTTAACTTCTCCCATAGTTTTATTCATTACATCTGATGCATAAGCCACCCTTTTCTGAAGAATGATGCTTATAAGACTGTAAGCTATAACAAAAACTTAAACAATGTCTCTGACAAAAGCTACCATGGACAGTTTTAAACCTGTGGGAGGAAAATAATTTACAGACAGATACTTTTGAATACGGATACATAATTATCTCACCAGCATGTCATTGTGCAATAAAGTCGTCAGCATTTTATTTGTCCTCTGAACTTGTGAAACGTTTTGAATGGCACTCGTATCGATAAATATTAACATTAAACAAATCTTTAGTGCTGCTATGGACTTTGCAAATCTACTTTCATTACCCGCCATGTTCATCTAAAACTAGACTGGTACCCTGACATTGGTTAACGGGCGCAAGCGCCCTAAAAAACCAACGACAGGTAACCACTGCCATTTTATCGCGTCACAGGAAACAGCACTGATGAAAAAATCTATATTTAGACTAGCGTAAATCCAGAAGTGCTGAAGTAAATAAACCCTTCTCTCTGCACTCTACACTGCTGCTGTTAACAAAGAAAGTAGACGGATTTTAAGCATCTATAAAACCATAAAGAAGTGCTGCCTCAAAAACCATTAAATGTAAAGCGATATCACAGGTCCCATATGCATATCCTACCAAAATAATTCAAATCAAGATCTATTGCATTATTAATTTACCTGCATATTTACCACTGATGTGATAATTAAATCATCGATTTAGTTATAACACTTGTTCTTTATCATTATCTATGTTCTAAAGTTTACGGGGAATGCTATAACTCGTCTCTCTAACTCCATGTGTTATGGTATGCACCAGGGAGGATTACAATGTTTAACACTAAGGAACATTTGAAAGTTCATTGTGACAATATACTGTAAGTTAATGATATGCACAGTTGATAAAGTCCTTACTATGTTGTTTGAATAATTTCACCGTTTTCAATTGCTCTATTCATCAAGAAAGATATCCTACGCTTTGTTTTCTGTTATTTAAATTGCTGGATCCACCTAACATTCTTCTCTGCAAGCATTGATGCTATTTATTTCTGGAATGCGCAGTACCATGCGCGAAGCAAGCAGTGAGTTTTTCCACTGTCATGGCGGCGGAGGTTACCTGTCCTTGTAATTCCTAGCGGCAGCGACTGGAATCAAGGGCAGAGAACCAGTGCTAATCTAAAACCGGAAGTACGAGTTCGTAAATTTGAAATCTCGATCCCGACTCAAATTTGACATCGGAAAGAAAAAATTCTGTTTTTCTCAATTTTATTTTTTTCTGAAAATTCAAAAACTTGAGCGGCGGGTTTGTAAACCTAAAAATAAAAAAAATGCTGGCCTTATTACTGGAATGAACGGAAGCAGCTGTTGCAGAAAAAATACATAACCCGCGTAAGCAGGTTATGTAAATTTTTTCTGCAATAGCTGCGACTGTTCATTCCAGTAATAACAAACAAAGAAAGACATTTTATTGTTTATATTTATATCTGTTTAAATAATCAATTCAAGTAGGATTAAAAAGACTAATTATTGTGTTAATGATGCGAACGTCTTTATACGTTTCATTGATGGAACAGCCACTGATTAAGAAATCTGTACAGGCGACATGCCTACTGTAGTTTATGCGGTGATGAACGCAATGGGGTTTCTTAAGAAATAAAGGAGAAAATATTCAGTGGATGTAAATATATGCTAATGAAATTCTGAATAAATATTGTATTTTTGGGGGGCACGATCAATACTAAAAATGATTTTAAATGCTGCATGTGACATAAATATACACAAAATAATCTGAATACTAATTATTTCACTGACATACCTTGAGAGAGATTTTGAATTTAAATGGTGGACCTTCATAGAAGCAGAGGCTGTTGTCCTCACTGGCACTGACCAGCCTGAATGGCCGCTCTGGACGAAAGCTAATGGCGTTCACTGCAGCACTGTGACCAATCAAATCACCCAGGGAATTCCCACTGTCCGCGGTGAACACATGAGAAAATCTGTAAACATAAACATCAAACTCTGAATGCACTGTTCCCTGACTTGGTTGTTCTTAATTACCTCAAATCTTAGATGTTAATATCTTTAGACTTAAACGGTATTCAAAATATCTGTCTGAACATATCATTTCCCCAAAAAAGTGCATATCATGCGATGACTGTAATAACTATTAATAGTAACAATGAGATATCATCTTTTCTTTAATAACAATCTATAATCAGTGGTTTTAATTGGTTACTTTTGGTTCCCCTGTCCTCCTGCTGCAATCCTCTGACTGTCTCCAGACCAGGTTATGTCTTTCACCTCTCCAGCAAATGGCTGGTATTCATTTTTCAAAATATGCTCTTTATTTACTGTATCCCAAACCCGAACTTTACCAGACATGTCTAAAAGACATAAAAATATTCTATTAAAACTACCGAGATCAATTAAAATAACAAATTTGTATGTAGGAAAATTCTTCAATGCAGAGAACTGTTTATAATACAACCTCCTGATGCTATATAGAAACCGCTCGGGGCGTAGGCAGCACATGTCGTCTGGGTAGCGTGCTCCGTGTAGATGTCAGATACTACGGGATTCTGATAGCGAAAAAAAAACTCAGTTACTAACTAAAACAAGTTCTCAACAAAAAGCACTGAAGTGAATTGTAGCAAAATCCAGTTCCCTACCTCAACATCTCTGATTATGACGCTGTTTCCGTTGGTGTACAGCATGTTGACTTTGTTCTTAGGGTCTCCATTAAGGACTAGTGGTTTGCCTCTTGTTGTTCTCGGTAAACTGGCAAAGCACTTCACTAAATAATACAAGCACACATTTACAGAATCATTCATAAAAATCACATAACAAAGAAAAATTTCAAACCAACAAACTGCATGCAAATAAAAGTGCTTTGTGTCTAGCATCATTTTCATGTAAATCATGATATTAAACAGAATTCTTTGGTTTATGCTGTGACTGAGTATGTATGACATGTAATGGTTTGGGGTAGTGGATATCGGCCTGGATAGTGAAGTTGGTAGAGCACCTGACTATAGATGCAGGGGTCCCGAGTTCGATTCCCGGTCCAGTCATATATTTTCTTCTTTCCTGTTAAAGACTTGGTGCCATTGACCACCCCTGGACTTGCAGGTGAAAGAACTTAGGTTGTGTCTTCGAGGACGAAGATAATCTAAGGAGGGAGGAATGTAATGGTTTGAGCCATGGCTATTGACTTGGATAGCTCAGTCGGTAGAGCACCCAGCGTTTTTTTTCCTTATATAACTGGTACCGATAAACAGCACCGTTCCCAATGCCAAAAACGTTAATTTTTCCCAATTCTTTGACTAAATATTCCCAATTCAACTGTGAAGCAACCGACTATGACGGCATCATATTTCTTTTTAAATGAAACTTTGTACAAGTTGACTAAGTGTTCAACTTCCGCTTAAATCGAAAGTATAGAAAGTCGTAATTTGGCAGGACCTGTGGTTTAGACAGCACAGTGTCATACATTTTGACAAATTGAAAGCATGAAAATGTGAAAACATGGGATGTTGATTATGATATAAAAAACAATAAGTACATGTTGCTTATTCTTTAAAACAAGGAGTAATAGGTAATTAATTTGGAATAAATGCAAAATATGTTGCATTTGCATAAATGAGAGAAAGTTCTTCTGTTTTTCTTCTATGTTATTTTTCCCAATTGAACTGGTATCGGACTCTTTCCCAATGGGTTGAAAAAAATTGCTGGCACCTGACTGGAGATGCAGGGGTCCAAGGTTTGATTCCTGGTCAAGCTATACATCTTCTCTTTTCCTGTTACATGTACATCATGTGTATGTGATAAAATATGTATGTCAGAAAACATAACATTACCATGGAAATGTATGCAGTAAAAAATCAAGATGATGACTTAAATTTTCCTGTCAAAATAATTTGAAAAAGGTACATGTTAAAGTTGATGGGCTACGGCTAGATGATAAACAGATAAAGGGGAGGGGCATTTTATAAGTTACTGAAAAAGTATGAAAATATGTCAGGTCTTAACAAAAATAAGAAATATCTGATACACGCAACACATCAATGTTCTGTGGTAAGCATCGGTACTCTTGTCAACATTCCTTCAACCTCAGTAGCTCGAGATGTTCAGCTTCCGTACTGAGAAAATTCGAACTACATATCTTGCTGCATGGATTCTAATTTTATGGTAAATATTTCTTTACTACCGTGTTTCTACTGCTATTATTACTTTACCTTGTTCATAGCTCCCCATTTTCTGCAGAATACAGTGGAATAAACCTAGTCTGAACACACCGGCCTATAATCCGGAAATAATAATAACCCAATATAACGCATGCGCATTACACCAAGGGACTTCCTTGTTTCCATATAAGGTAAGAGCATGCAGTCAAATTTCAAATCAAAAGTAAGAGGTCCACTGAGTCATTTTAAAAAATTAAAGAAGTGAACTAATTCAATTTTGAGATAATATCCAAATCTAAAATTGGTCTTGTTAATTAAAAACCTCTTTGCAGTTTGAAATTCAAACTGACTATGATTTTTGAGACAATATCCGACTATATACTAAATTACGATGCTATCTGATATTGATACTAAATCAAAGGATTCGATGACCAAACCATTGTAAAAAAAAACAACAAATAAATCACTTTTATACATAATTTTAAATGAAACTTAATTCAATGATACACGTATTTTATCATTACATTATGAATATAGTCCCATTTGTACATACTGAAATAAATGGGAAACTTTGCTGAAATGAAACACCACATCAATTTAAAAAAGTGATTATTTTTTTAACACCAAGAACGCATTATGCAATAAATATTCTATTCTATTCTATTGCATAGTACAAAGGACTTTTAATCTGTATTTATCAAATAGTATTATATACTCCTCTTTTATTATAAATCTTGTGGACATTTACGATGTTTTAGATTAGAATTAAAATTAAATTCTAGAAATTTTGAAGATTTTTGCGGGTGATAGAAATTATTTATGTAAAAATAAGAAATACATGTATCTATATTTGTTTTCATTTTCTTAACACCAGGAATAGTATGCTTTTATAGGGCGAAATTATAGATAAAAATAAGTAATAAGTCTTTTGTATTTATACAAAGAACTTTTTTATCTATATATATCTGAATTTATCAAATAGTATTCCCCTTAAATAATAAATCTAGTGATGAATAATTTTATTTATGTGCAATTTTTATGTGATTTTTTTTTTACTTACAGAGTAGTTAAGGAAAAGGGACATGTTTTCTTTTCAAATCTTTTAGATACATGTAACATGCAATTCTTTGATCTGATTTGAAACAGAATAAAATAATGCAATTTGGGGGATATTTATTATTACTTTATTTTGCTCATTATCAGAACAGAAAATTTCGATAAAAGACAAAAATTCCTTCAAATGAAGATTACCATTATGTTTGTTTTATTTTCTCTGTTTGCAGATAAAGTTCGATGCGTGTTATATAAATAATGTTACACTTTTCTATTGTTTCAAATTTAGAGCCATCACGTAAATATGTGTTTAAAAATTGCTTTATTTCGATGAGAAGGTCAGCAAAATACAACATGAACTTTACAGTATGTACATGTAATTCAAGATGTAATTTTTATAAACTCTACACTGTCACACTTTAAATGAAATATCAAACTTTTAATTCACTTTAAAAAAAATTAATACGGGCCGATACCGCACTTCAGGATTCAGGGCAGTATGAATTCACTTGAGTGAATTTTGTGTTATTTTCCAAGAATGTCGGAGGATAATTCTGACTCCTCCCGTCGTTTCCTTCGACTTAAATTTGACAACAAAGGAAAACATGCTATGAATACGAGCAATATTCATATTTGCAAATGGTCAGTGACACGGTAAGTAAATTTACGAGTTCAATATTTTTATTGAGAAAAAACAGCTGTCCATGATATTAAAAAGCCTATCATAGGGGAGTGGTTGAATAAAAAAAAAATAAGAAGTCGAAAGCTTTCACGGTGTTGATTTTGGAAAAAAAATTGATTTCAAACTTTCCAAAAATTACTTGGAATTTTTAACTACCCTTAATTGATTGTGATACAGTTTTGTGATTTTAAATTTTCCGAAAATTCCTTGGAGTTTTAACTACATGTAACCACATCTGATTTCCACCACACCTCGAACATGCATATTGTAGAACAGTACTCCTGAAATATCTCCTTCGCTACTGTATATATTTTAGTGACGTGAGGAGTAAAGAAAGCGGCTTGGTTGAACATTTAGTATAACTCGCAATGTATCATTGTTTGTAAGAATTTTTATGAAGTTCCGGAATCCAATATAGATATGGTAATTCAAATTCATTTTGGTTGTTAGGAATATTAAAATATTCAAAACAACATAAGATTTTCAACATTACTAACTATAAATTAAAATCTAGTCTGTTTCATATCATGGACATCTTCAATATAAATGGAACTTGAAAAAAATTGTTCATCAGGAAAATTACTCCGCTAAATCTTACTCTGATGATGAGGACCAAAATAACTACACTGTAACTGTTGGAATTCCAAAGGACAGGAATTGTACTTCTTTTTATCAATCTAATCTGTTTTTATATTGCGTAGAAGCAGAATTTATTCAAAAACTTCTGCGTGAGAAGTGGATAACACTTGCTTTGGTACCTCATTCGACATTCAGATGTATACCGTCGACATTTAAGAAAATAAAACAACGATAGTTGTTTTTCTTCGAACGTCCACTCGATATATCCCAGTGAGACCCTTCAATGTCTACGTCATCTGTTTCATATTTGAATGGTTTACTTACTATAGAGGATAAGAAAATAAGGGCAAACCAACAACCAAATTGTTTGATAAACGAGATGACTTCAGCTTTTACATCTTTATGTACATAATAATACCCCCTATCACCTATAGCTACGTATGATGTTTACATGTATGAACACAAAACGAAGTATACAGTATGTACATGAAATTCAAGATGTAATTTTTATAAACTTTACACTGTCACACTTTAAATGAGATATCAAAATTATAGTTTTAATTAACTTGAAAACAAATTTTATCACGGGCAGTATGAAAACCATCTATCCTTCTGTGTTCAATAAACCAGAAGTGAAAAAAGAATTAGATAGATTACATGATCAGCACGTACTGGTCCCTGCCGACAAAGCAGGTAGCAACATTGTCTTCGTTTGTAAGGCTCATTATATAAATTGTATTCTAAAAGAATATGGATTTAATTATACAAGTAGTAATCCTACTTATACTCATACTTCTCTTTCTAAGGAAGAAATTCTTCAAAATCATATGTCAGTTTTGAGTATTTTTAATATTCCACAGAGCCGAAATGAATTTGAACTACCTTATATATATTGGATTCCGAAACTTCATAAGAATCCTTTACAAACAAAGATACATTGCGGGTTCCAGTAAATGTTCAACCAAGCCTCTTTCGTTACTCCTCACTAAGATATGACAGTAGTGAAGGAAAAACTTCAAAAATACCGTGCAATAATATTTTCAAAAAGTGATGTAAATAAGATGCGGATACTTAAAAAATTCAAGGCACGTTTGGACGATTTGAAATTACAAAATTTCACCAAAATCAACAGCTTAAAACTTACGACTTTTCAACTTTTTACACAACCATTCCCCACGATAAAATTAAAATCCAGGCTTTTTGATATCATTGACAACTGCTTTTTCAATAAAAATGGAACTCATTTGCAAAATTATTTTGTTAAAACAGATTCTGATTGCACACACAAGTACTCTGAAGTTGACATCAAGAAGTTGCTTGAGTTTCTGATTGACAATATCTATGTGGTTTTTGGAGACCAGGTCTTCCAACAATCTACTGGAATTCCCATGGGTACCAATTGGGCTCCGTTATTAGCAGACCTATTTTTGTATTCATATGAAGCAGAATTTATGCAAAATCTTATGCGTGAAAAGAAGGAAACACTTGCTGTGGCCTTCAACCTCGACTTTCAGATATATCGACAACGTATTGTCAATTAACAATGGTAGTTTCCATTCCTACGTCGATACGATGTATCCAGGAGAGCTTGAGATAAAAGATACCACAGACTCTGACACATCTGTTTCATACTTGGATATTTTACTCAAAAAAGACGTTAACGGTAGCCTAACAACCAAGCTATATGATAAACGTGACGACTTTAACTTTCCTATCGTCAACTTCCCTTACTTATGCAGCAATATATCTTCATCACCTACATACGGAGTATATACAGTTGATTCGATACGCAAAAGCATGCTCTACGTATGAACAATTTTTAAAACGAGGTAAGTTGATGAAACAAGAATAGCAGCAGTTTCGTTTAAACTCAATATTTTGTAAGTTCTGTGGTCGATACAATGACATTGTCAGCAAATACAATTTATCATTGAGTCAAATGCTGACTGACGTTTTTCATACTATTGTTAGTCCATTATTTATACACCGAACTGACGACGGATTTTTCCGTTATTTCACGATCATGACAAGGAGCACACGGCGGGTGTGACTGGTCGACGGGATGCTCACTCCTTATGACACCTGATCCAACTTATGATGTTTTGGAGGTCCGTGTTTGCTCTGTTCCTATTTTGTATTGTTATATGGACTTTGATATTGAATACTGTTCGTTATCTCCATATCCTTCTCATCTAACTTCCTACTTAAGAGCTGCTCTGATGGCGATAATTTTTTAAAATCGAGATACGCTACTCATAAATAAGTTGATGTAAAAGTATTTCCAAAATAAAGTTTGCTTTTCGAAAAATCTGTGCTATATATTACTGAGTATATTGTTAGCAGATATGACCTATCGTTTGGTCGTATTTTGGCTGTCTTGTTTCATGCTATACTACATGTAGGTTTAAATTTAAACAATACTTTATTATGAATTAAGATAATAGGATCGGGCAGCAGGCACTGCCTATATAAGTCCTCTCCATAATACAAAGATCAAAGTCATAAATGTACAAGTAAATATTAGCTACATAATATTGAAAAATATAAATATATACATGCATATATTCAATAGAAATGTATATAAAAAAAAGGCAAATTAAGAAGAAAAAAAATTATGAGCTGATGATGTTACTTAAATTTGTATTCTAACATATATGACTGGCAATTATATTAATAAGTGTAGGTTTGACTAGTAATGACTAAGGAATGTATCCTAGGTCAATTCATAGGGCTCATTGCGTGTGTGACTGGTCAACAGGTGATGACAACTCCTTAGTTCTAGACACATGATCCCATCTCTAAAATGGGTCTGTATTTTATGCCCTTTTTACAGATTTGTATTGTTTATATAATTAAAAAAAAAAGTTTTAGGCCGATAACTCGTTCATTATCTTAGGTTAACCTTTTGTATTTCAAGTCAAATACTTTTGACTTACAAGTATTTCCAATATTTTTCCTTCAGTTTTTTTTTTATATCTTTAAATGAATGTTATTTATTCATACAATTAAAAAAAAATCACATATACATGAACTCAGAATTACTTTATTGGTTTATAACCAAGAAGACTTATTACAATTCATTTATTCCTCGTAACTAGGCAACGATGTTGAGATAGGGAGAATTTTGGAATGTTTGCCACTCGGCTTCCGTAAACACAATTGATCGCCATTCTGAAATTTAAAAAAACACATCATAGCATGTACACTGTGAAGACTTTCCCTGTACGAGGGTTGTCCCGTAAAATCGTGGACAAAGCGTTTTTCTCGAAAAGTAATGGGTGCACTAAGCTGAAATTTTCAGTAAATGTTTATTCATCATATTTAAGTGTATCATAATGTTTTTGATAATATATATACAAAAATAAAGATTTTATTATGCTTGAATGTGCACAAGGTACGGTCCTACGGCGCACGGTAAAAATAACAAGGTTGTATTAGAGAATATACAAGTATTAATTCGTAATAAAAGTTTTCAATACATAAGATTAGGATGAAAATTATCCTAATTCGATTCCTTAATCAATTCTATCGTCTTTTTGAAAATTTCTTGGCATTTGGTTAAATTTTGGCTGTTTCCCGAGCATTCGAAATGGAAAAGTTGTATACACAATACACGAAAAATGGCGACGTTTCATGACGTTACGGCGCACCGGAGAGCAGTTCAGTTAGATTAGGATGTTTTAATGACACTTTAAAAGACTTTAAATGAATACGGAAGAACGAAAATATGAAAAATATCACCAGATTTTAGTATACAAATAAAATGGACGTTTTCTTAGCGAAGTCTTCTTGATTGAGTCCCCAGATAGTACAAAACATCCGGACAGACTGCCATTGTAATAGTAAAAGACGCTGTCACTGTCGACCGTCGATATGAGATTTTCATTTAGTTGACTGATGGTGAGAATACTGTCCGTAACTTGCTCATAAATATTCAGAAGATTGCATGAGTGTGCCGCATTGGTTCCTTAACTGGTAATAAACACTCACGTATGTGAATCAATAAAATTTCTAAATTTAAGTGGGGCTTATCCAACTTTATTTTAGCAAACATGAGGTGACGCTGTTTCAGACACGTCAACGTTATCATCCGTGCGCCGTAGGGCGCTACAGTACATAACATAATATATCACAATTTGCTTATTTATGCATATATCTATTTGAAATTTGCTATGTATATTTATAATATACGTACTAAAAAGTAGTGAAACTTTCAGAACGCAGTGATGATTATTTTTCAGACTAGACAACTTGTCCACGATTTAACGGGATAACCCTCGTAAACTGTAAAAAAAGATGTTCACAAATCTTTTAGAAATTTAATTTACTAGTACATGTTCGTGTCACCTTTTCAACAGTTTGAAACATCTCTGCTCAAAGTATAAAAACGTGGACAAAATGTAGTTTAAAAAAAAATTATTTAAATTCGGATGTGATGTGCACGATACCTTTGATTGTACTTTGTTTTGAAAAAAAATATGTACTTGACTCTCGAATGCATTGTTGCTCCTGACAAAATTATGTTAAATCTTATGTACACCATCATTTGCAAGTCACGTGTTTTGTGTCCATTCTATTTCCACAAAAACCAAGTTTGTGGAAATAGAATGAATACATGTACAAAACCCGTGGCTTAGTTGCGACGATTATGTACACGTAATCAAAATTAAAACAGCATCATGACAAAACAGTGATTTTTTTTGACACGAAATACCTACCTACTAGTAGGACCAAATCAATTGTTTGATTAGAACAGCGTTTAAAGAGTAATACGCTTCATTGGGAGATTCAGGACATTGTATTCAAGTTTCACTCACATTTGTCGTTACACAACAAAAAATAATGAAGACAAATCATTGGATCTGAAGAAGTCCTGGTGACCTTCCCAACATCAGTATTCATTAAAATTTTAATCAGTCAGTGAAAATATGTATAGTACTTAATTGACATTCAGGAAAATGTCAGTTGAAAGTACCTGTAGAGAATAATCACACGCTTCGTAAAAATCAAGTCTAAATCGCATTTTTTAAAAGTAAAGAGATGCGGAGTTCCTAAAGACAGGCTTTGGAAACATTTCTTTGGAACCTATAATTTTGTAGCTAAATTCCAAGATACTGGAAGATTCTAGTCAGCGCATGGCCAAATGGAGTTTATGAATAAAGTATTCATCATTTCTTAACTTCTATGGTCGATACAATGACCGTGTCAGCAAATACAATGTACCATTAAGTCAAATACTGACTGATATTTTTCATACTAATTGTTAGTCCATTATTTAAACACTGAATTGTCTACGGATTTTCCCGTTTTTTTCCCGAACATGATTAGGAGCACACAGCTGATGTGACCTTTCGACAAGGGATGCTCATTCCTCCATGGCACCTGATCCCACCACTGATGTTTTAGAGGTTCGTATTTGTTCTGCTCCTATTCTGTAACATGTTAATGAACTTTTGAACTCGAATATTTTTCGTTATCTCCACATATTTCATGTGAGCGAATCAAAGGTTGAAATATGAAGGTAACGAAGTGTAATTAAGGTAAGTCACTCGTCAGCTTTTTAGAAAAGTTCACGCAGAAGCTTTTACTTCAAAACTACTTATTAAAATTCAATTTTTATAACATATTTAAATTCAACAATGTAAATTTTTTAACATTCAATGAAAAAACTCTTCAAAATTCTACAAAGAAGCAAGATTTATGAGGGACTATTTCTTTTGGTGGAAGGATATTTAGCAGATAATTCTGCAAATCTGCACATTTATAAAATTTAATGTAATGGAAATTTAGCCTCACATAATTTTACTCGGAGAATATTTTCCGTTTTGATATTGCTAAAAATATTTAATATAGGTCTTAATTTATATTTTTAGACCAAGTTTTACACCTTCCCTCAACAAACTTTTCCAAAAAATGAAAATATATTAAAGAAGTCAAGATCAAATTTACACCATTTTTTGCCTGAAAATCACATATTTTGACAAATATTTCAAAATTAAAATCACTGACCCCACCTTTTTCTTTCATTATTTTAAACTACTCGATACTTGTGACTGATCAGCACTTAAGTCGTAAAAAGTTTGATATAAAAAAATTTTTTATTGCCTATTAAGTTTTTTAATACCCCAAATATGTTTTTTTTTTAGTGCAAAAAGGTCACACAATAATTTACGCGCAATAATTTGCAAGATTTGTTTAATGATAAATATTATTCAAACTATTTTACGTAAAATAAGATTATATTTTTTGCCATGCTTACATCTGATCAAATATAATAAGGGTCAAAGTAATTAACAAAAGATATAAAATTTAAGTGCAAAAAGGTCAACTTAAATGTACCGTAGATCAGTAGGATGCACACTGACCCCCTATTTTCTTTGCGATTTTGAGTTACACTTTATGAATACTTATCCAAAATATACTTCTCAAAAAATCCTTGATTTAACAAATTTCAGGAGTGACTTACCTTAAGTTCAAAAGTTGATTTAAATAATACAGATCGGGAGCAGAACAAACACGGACCTCCAACATCATTACAGGTGGGATCAGGTGTCATGGAGGAGTAAACATCTTTTTTCTCGACCTATCACATCTGCCATTTGGCCGTCGTTATGATATGGCAAACGGAAAGATACGCAGACATTTCAGCATGAAAAGAATGGCCGTGTAATTAGTTTGAAAAACACCAGGTATACATGTAGCATTTTAAATTAATGATAGATTGTATTTCTGACAAGGTCATTGTATCAACCAGAAATTATTGCAAAATAATGACTTTAATCGATCCAGTTGATATCCGTAATTCATCAACTTCTTTGTCAATAGATTGTTTCCATTTAGGAATTGATCGTAAGTAGAGCATGTTTTTGAGTGTCAAAAATCCTGATTGTAATGAGACTGAATTTTTATAAACTAAAAAATGTTTACCTTTGAGATCTAGACTATTAGTTTGATCAGAGTCACGTGACAAAAGGGCAATCACAATGTCGTTCAGTTGGGAGGCGAACAGTTGGCCACAAAATAAACTTCGAACCTCCTTTTCATCCAATCTTTTGTCCTTGTTTGTGTCGCCAAACTGAAACAGCAGGTCAAGGACGTCGGATCCTGTTGAACGCTTCTCATTTTCTCTTTTCAATTGGTTCTACAAATTTCAAATTGGACTAAGGAATCACAGCTAACCTCAATTGCCAACTTTTTCAATTTTAACGTCATGTACCGTATTGATATGATACTGATATTTTTGTTTTTATTTTTTTTTTCTTGTTTAACATAAATAAAGATAAAAACTTACCATTAAATCAGCTTTCGCTGTATCTCTTTTCTTAAATACCAGTCCCTCAGCAGAGAAGACCAAAGCTATCACGATCATAACCGCCCAGCGCATCTTAATCACCCGAATCAGCATCTAGTGAAAAAAAAACAACCCACTGTCCCGTGTGGACGAGTTTTATATAACCCCATCTAACCCGGTGGTCCACAAAAACCCGCCACAAGGTGCAATACGCGTCAATAAAGATGTTTGTCTTTTGAACTGTTATTGTGAAATTGTCGATAATACTTAATCAATGGAGAAATATTTGTGGTAAACATATTTATGTACACTTCAAAAATAGTGGTAAGATAAAATAAGCATCAATTTTCACAAGATCCAACAAGGGTTGAAACCTTTAGGATATGTAATCTACTACTTGTATATATTTATTTCCACACAGTGAATTTTGAATATATAAAAACGTATAGACTGAAGTTCAATTTTAGGATACGCTATAAAACCTCCTTTTTTTTCTTCTTCTATCTTATAACTTTATTCCTCGAAGGTATTTTTGTTATTATTATAATGATAATATTCAAGGAATACTGTTTGAGCTTCGCTTTTTTTGGTACGTATTTTATAGGATACTTCTATAACCTTTTACAGAGGTAAAATAGCAGAAAGAAACTGGATATATCGTACATTTTAAAATATACATGTACTAAGTACCCATAGAAATAAATGTTTTGTTGAATGATACTGATAAAAATATAAACCATGCATTTTCTTCCCTCCATTTTCTCTATATATCAGTTTTGAAAATTGCTCTAAACAAGGTGTAAAGAGAGTAATATGTCTTGCTCTTGCACATGCTTTGTCAGAAAAAAAAAGAATATTTTTGAAAAACACCCTTGTTTTATACATACACATGTATATACTCTGAAATTGGTTTTAAAGGGGTGCTGAATTTTCAGTAAGTGACTATTTTATTGAGAGCAGATCTCTCTACAAACTATGGGAACGCAATTTGTACTACATTTTGCTCCTTTATTAGCTAACCTGTCTTTACATTTCGCTCGACAGGGGATGATTTCTCCTACAAGATATTTGGTCCTACTTCTGAAATTTCTCAGGGGTTCTTGTTTTAAGTCTTGTTGGGGGATTTGTATTGTTTCTACATTTAAAAAGAGCAATAGTTGTTCATCATCTTCACGTATTTCATTAAATACAGAAAATATTATATGAGAAAAGACCAAACCATTGATATTTGAGAAACCTTTCCTTAAGAGATAATGAATATATAAGATCAGACTCGCGTGAACTGACTGCTAAATTAAAGGTCTGAACTATAATACTCGAGAAAAAGCTATGAATAATACTAGATTTAATTTTTTTGCAAGGAAAGTTAACTCTCTTATCAGAGGTTCAACCCTCCTAGACAATAGGGGTGGACCTAATATATGTTATATGTATGCCAAACGAGATGATTAACTTTTGCACGTTCAATTTACCTTATCTATGTAGTAACATTCCGCTATCACTACCTGCATCTATACGGTGTTTACGCCTCCAAACTTTGATACCCAAGAGCGTGCTTGGAGAATGATCAAATTTTTAAACCGAGATAGGCTACTGACAGATAAGTTGATGGTACAAGAAGTTCAAAACCTCATTTGAAGTCAGCATTTCGTAAATTCTGTGATTGCCATAATTACATATTAGCAACTATAACTTATCAAAGGGTCATATTTTGTTGATATGTTCCATACCAATTGTAAAGTCTTTGTTTTATTACTAAATTTATCCACAATTTTCTAACAATAAGAAGAGATCGAAAAAACTCGTTATGGTTTTGTTATCTTTATTCATCTATTTGGAGATGACAGAATTTACTCATTATCCCTGGATAAAATAATCACATAAGGAGAGCGTGTCAGATCCTTCATGTCGGCCTCTGTGAACCTCACTGCCCGCCAAGCTACAAAATAAAAGAGTACTCACATGACTCTGAATTCAAACATTGATAAAGATCTAGTAAATTCTAGTAAATCAGCACAGATAGGTTCTGATCAATAATGGCTTAATTCACGTATGCTTCAAGTTAATGGACCATATTCCATGAAATTACACATTTAAACCTATTGCACATCCTAAGGCCATTAAGCATAATTTGAATCCCTAAATAAATTACTAAAATTATATATAACGTTATACTTATATATTTTGAAAAAAAATTATCAAATGTAACGTCTTTATTATTCTTTATGAAGCCTTTTTTACTTATCATTTGGAAATGAAATACCCAGCATAGCCCTTTTAAATATTATTTTCTAATTGAATGTACTATTAGTCTTTATAACTTATTTACTTTCCTGACGAAGTAAAGGTTTTGCAATCAAACAAGTCATGTATTTAAAAACGTAGGAAATCTATGAAAAATTTAATATGCTGAAACTTGATGAAAAGCAACGATGTAGATTATTACCAACATTCCTTATCGATAGGCATACAGAGGGAACTACGTACCTGCGATGTCCATAGACAAGGATCCGTCAGGGTTCCGTAGTTTTAGTATGATGTCGTTCACGTGGGGGGCGAAGGTGCCACAGTTGAAGAGCTTTCTGACCTCGCTTTCTGACAGAAGCCCATCCTTGTTAATGTCACCGTAAGTAAATATCAGGTAATCCATATCATACGTCTCCGTCTGTCTCACCTACGTAAATAAATAAGTATCATAAGTAAAAAATATCAGGTAATCCATATCATACGTCCCCGTCTGTCTCACCTAAGTGCATATATGTATACATGTATTTTCATATTATTCAAAGTTTTCTGATTGGCTGAAAATTGATCACATGATCTATTTATAACAGCATTTAGACTTGTGTTACTATTTATAGATTTTGAAAAGCATATTGACTTAATGTTTCTTAAAAAATGAAAAAAAAAAATCATCTTTAAAACTACAAAAGCGGCGTCTTCGCAATATTATTATAATAGTTAATTTAACCTGATGCTTTGAAAAAAAATCCTTTTTATAGTATTATGATGTTCTGTAAAAATTGGTTGGATGCATCATTACCTTGTATAAGAATCTCCTTTATATTAAAATGAATTAGAAATGTTTTTCATAAATTATAATAAAACAAATGTAGACCTTGAAATCACTTTCCCTAAATTACTCTATCGGTAAAAAGAAAAACAGAATTAGGATAAAGATCTTATTTTTCATTTTCAATCTGTGTAAAAAACGTGACTGAGAAAACTTGTGACTTGTTCTTATTGATTTCAAGTTTGGTTTTCTTAATTTCTTTTAAAAAAATAATTTAAATGTATATTTGGTCAACTCATAAATATATCGACTTCACAGAAAGGCATATCGACCGAGCACGAAGTGTGAGGTCCATATACTTTTCTGTGAAGACGATATATCTATGGATCGACCTCATGAAAGGGCTATATTTACAAGATAATATAACGTATATAAGGTCGTCCATATAATACGTCTGAGTCTGTCTCACCTAACTTAATACATTTTTTTATACATGTACATTGAATATATAATTCAACATACAGACGCCAGTAATTCGGCGTCACCACCATCCCAACAATATCTAATAATTGTCCCTTGTTATTTTAAAACATATGACAAGTATATATCTCTAGCATAGGAATTGCCTATCTTTTTGCCTCAGAATCCTAGGGTGGCATCATACCTTGACATTTCTTTCAACTGTTCTCTTCATCCTTTGCAAGACATCAAATCCATGGGCAAAACTTAAAATGGCTGCAAGGCTCAGAAGTTGCATCCAGGACTTCATCGTGACAGAGCAAATATCAGTGTCTCACTGCCTGCAATGATAGCCTTTTATAGGATAGCTTCAACAACTTAAATTTAGGGGATATTTTATAACTTACATTTATTTTTATTTTATCATTTAATTTTAATGCAGCTCAATTAAGATCATCCTGTTGATAACATACTGCTAAATGTTTTAACTTCATGCACATTAATAAAAGTTAAGCAAAATGCTTTAAAATTTACTGCGTAGTTTATCCATGATAAACTTTTACTTTATAATGTTTATTCAAATTCTAAACATATGAAATAAGGAACATAATCAAGCTTGAAAGTCAAATAAACAATTATATAAATTTTGAAACAGAGTAAACACGCACCTCCAAAACATCAGAGGTGGGACCAGGTGCCATGGAGGAGTGAGCATCCGCTGTCGACCGGTCACATCTGCCTTGTGCTCCTTGTCGTGATCAGGAAATAACGAAAACATTCGTTGACAATTAGGTGTATAATATAATGGCCTAGCAATAAGTATGAAAAAAGTCAGTCAGTATTTGATTTAATGATATATTGTATTTGCTAACAATGCCATTGTATCAACCATAGAACCTACAAAATGATGGCTTCAAACTTCCACTGATATTCTTGTTTCATCAACTTTATTGTCAATAACCTACCTTATTTTAAATATGGTTAATATATAGAGCATGCTCTTGCGTATCGAATCAACTAAGAGATATAAACCCCGTATGCAGGGTATATTCCTGCACAGGTAAGGGAAGATAAAGATTTTAAAGATAAAGTCATGAAGTTTATCATAAAGCTTTGTTGTTAGATTACCATTAATGTCTTTTTCTAGTAAAATAGAAATTCAAATATGAAACAAATGTGTCAGTCCCTGTGTTATCTTTTATTTCAAGCTCACCACGATATTGCTTTGACATAAAATTGGAAATAAACATTGTTAATTGACAATACGTCGTAGATTTATCTAAATTTTGCAGGGATGATTGTGTATATAAAGTTGAAAAGTCGTAAGTTTTTAAATCGTGATTTCGATTATACTGTTGCACAGTACTCCTTAGTTTCTCCTGCAATACTGTTAATATTTTAGTGATTAGTAATAAACGGAGACATGGTAGAACATTTACTGGAACCTGCATTGTATCTGTATTGGAAGGATTTTTATGAAGTTGTGGAATCCAATATAGAATCATACTGTTTAGAAACGTGACGATTTATCTTTTCTATAGTCAACTTCTCTTACTTATCAGAAATATTCCTTCATCACCTGTATACGGAGTTTATATCTCTCAGTTGATTTGATACGCAAGAGCATGCTCTACGTATGAACAATTTCTAAAATCAGGTAAATTATTGACAAACACGTTGATGAAACAAGAAAATCAACAGTCTCGTTTAAAGACATAATTTCGTAAGTTTTATGATCGATACAATGACCTTGTCAGCAAATACAATTCATTGAGTCAAATGCTGACTGACATTGTTCATACTAATTGTTAGTCCATTATTTAAACATTGAAATGACGACGTAGTTTTTCGTTATTTCCCGATTATGACAAGGAGCACACGGCGGGTGTGACCGCTCGGCAGGGGATGCTCCCTCCTCCATGGCATCTGATCCCACCTCTCATGTTTTTGATGTCCGTGTTTGCTCTACTCCTATTTTGTATTGTTTTATGTACTTTCGATCTTGAATACTGTTCTTTATCTCCATATGTTTCTTCCATGCTGTATACGATTGGTGATCAAAAAGTTCGCAAACTAATTGAATAACTTCATTAAAAGAAACAAAATGATTTCAGTGTCAATTATATTTTAAATTAGTCCTCACGGTTTTTAATGCACATTTGCCACCGTTCTGCTCATGCGTAAATCGTGTAATATAGGCGGTCACGTGACCCCCTCCTTCGCGTTCAAAAGCTGAAAGATTTTTCATGAGTTTTATATTTCTTTCCATGTGAGTTAATTTTTATAACAAGCACAGTTTATTGTCAGAAATGGTCAAATCTCGGCAACAGAATGGGTGGATAAGAATATCCTTTCCAAAAATAAGCCTGGCGACCATCAAAACACAAATCCTCTATCTCGGGAGAGACGTTTATTCAAGGTGGATACAGAATGGGTGCCTCCTTTTTATCATATCTAATATGTTTAAAATCTAAAGTGAACGATATCTTACGTATTAAATACTTATATCATTGTTCAAATATTCAACTATTTTTCAAAGTGCTAATTGGAGGTCTTTGATAGCAAATTGCTTAATTAAAAGTTTTTAAAACACATCTCTTCTCAAACTTGCTTTCACTGGGAAACATAACAAATATCATTTTTTAACCATCTGCCTTCCTTGCTACTGCTAAGGAATTTCTAAGATATACCATAAATTTTACTTTCGTTGAAAGTAAGTCTTTCGTTGAACGAGTACGACTGAGACAACCATTTTTTGTCACAAGTGACCTACATAGTGACGTCATTTTCACATTGTGACATCACAGACAAGGAGCAGAACTTTATTCAGCATATGCTATTTATAGAATTTGTGTATGGCTATGTGTGTACCAATTTTTTTTTCTAATCTGAATTGTGGTTTTGTACATATAAAGATAGTTCGCGAACTTTTTGATAACCCCTCGTACACTCTAACGCAGGTTTTATTAGATTATTTTTGTTGAAAGGTTTTGTTTTGTTTTATTGTTATGGTTTTTGGAAGGGTTGGAGTTCTTTTTGCTGAATAATTTATTGACCTGTAAGTGTATCTGTATGTGTATTATTGTTTGTTTGAGCAAATTATTGTTTTTGTAAGAATTTTGTTTTAAGTTACTGTAATGAATTTGAAATTAAGTTATGTATCACTTTTAAGTAAGTTTTTTTTCTCTCGTTACAGAATGTCGCATTATATCCATGTGACGTTAATTTGTGCGAAAAATCATGTGAGTTTCAAAAAGTGCGCGGAGCTGTATAAATACGTTTAAACGATACATGTATATAAATTAGGCAAGCTTGTTGACAAATAAGTTAATATAACAAATCTAGTTTGAAGTCGAGTTCGAAACCATGACCTTATTGGCAAATGCAACCTATTATTTAGTCATGATTGACGTAATTCATACTAATTGATAGTTCATCATTTACACGAGGAATTGTTTTGCTTCGTTTTCCCAGATCATGACAGTGAGCACACGCTGGTTGTGACCGGTGGGCAGGGGATGCGTGCTTCTCAATGGCATCAGATCCCACCTCTAGATCAGATGTGTTAGATGTGTTTACTTTACTCCATATTTATAGTTTTAATGAACCTTTAGACTTGATATCGGTTCGTTATCTTCTTATTTCAATTTAAGCATGCATTAGGGATGTAAATACGGGTTGGTACTGATTTTATCAACCATTAATTCCTTTGGCATTTATGTTTGTGGATCTGATAACCAATCCATTTTTACATCGCTATTAAAGATTACCAGATGTTTCTGTCGAGACTGAAGCTTTATTGGTTAGTACTTATTACATAGGAAGAGAGACGTAGTATTTTACTTGGGCCTTTGCAGCAGTAATAAATAAAATGATGCTCCTTTTGATCCTTTGTTCAGTCTCATGTTCTACTTTTGTTGCAAGATTTACGGTATTGCAATCAGACTAAAACTGTAGGAGAAGTAACCTTTTCAGAGAATTTTATAGAAATTTTGATTTAAGTAACCCTGGCAACATCTTTTATCAAAATAGTAAAAAATATTTTTTTAAAAATAAGACAATAATGTATCTCAGTGTAGTCTACCACTACATGCGATGTTTAATTAAAATCTGACCAAACGGTAGGGGTGTTTGGAAAGTATTTTAAAAAAGTTTTCTAGTTTGTATTTTTTTTTTGGGGGGGGGGGGGGGGGGTCACATTTCAAAGCGTAGGGTGGTTGTCGGATTCTTCATGGGCAACTTAGATATTGTTTATTTCAGCTCCTTTAGTTAAATATTGAGCTAAATAACTTTATTGCAAAAGAACTTCTGTATATTGTTCAAGTGTAAAAGTTAGCCGTCGACTGTAAAAGTCTGTTTTTCGCAAAATACCTATTCAAACGACTCTTAGAAATGCACAGGCTATAAACTCGAACCCCTAATAACTTAAGAGGTGGTATTTAGTGCATAGGAAGAGTAAGCATGCCCATTTAACCGTATTAACCTGCGTGAGCCCTGTGTGTTGACCATTTAGACGGGAGATTCAATTTTCAAATTAAGTATAAAAACAAAGGTCCTTCGATTGGTGTTTAAAAAAAAGCATCAAACCTATATACGATAAAAAGGGTAACGAGCATCGATTTTATGAAATGAAGACTTTAAACAAAGTTGTTCAAATCCTTGTCCCTGTAACACAAACAATATTTTTAAATTTGCAAATATTAAAAAGAAACATATAAAAACATTTTTGTTCAACCATGCATTTAGTACAAAACAGATAGAACGTTGTCATTCACAAAATAAAACATAATCCTGTGGTGATTCCGTTTCATTTACCGGTGTTCATTTCATTTGCAGCTTCCAGTAATTACTATAACAAAGTGCACAAACAATAAAATTTTTAATTTGCAAATATTCAAAATGAAACATAAAACAAATGTGTTGTGTAAAACCGTGATTTTTTCATTGTATATAATAAAATGGACGTTTAATTTCATCCATACTTTATATTAAAGAATCTCACGAAACCTAATATGATTTATTGATAATGTACAATGTAGTATATGTATATATTGAAAGTGTAAAACCAAACTATCCTGGGGAACAATTTTCACTTCTGCTTATAAAAACATTCACAAATTATAAGTTAATAGCTATAATGCATCCAGATCAGATTTAAAATAAAAGCGCATTTTCCAAGCACAATTATCACTTCCGATTAAAAGATATAACAAATAATGACAATGATTCTAATTTTACCATTCACATCCAGAGACTGGCTGTTGTCTAGATCACGTGACATTAATACAGTAATTAAGTCATCGAGATGAGAAGTGAATACGTTTCCGGAGAAGAGTCTTCTAAGTTCAACTTCCGTCAAACGCCCATCTCTGTTCAGGTCACCAAAGAAGAAAATAATACCATGGGCGTGTTCGCTGCGTTTTTCCTCTTCTTTCAGATCATCAACCTACATAATATTTCAGACACTTCAAAATGACTTTTTATTTCAGACACTTCAAAATGACGGAGTTTTGTGGGAATTGATAATAATGCTCTGTGTCGTAATCTTTTAAAATTAAATCAAAATTTCTTTTTAATCTTGTACATCAAGAAAAATTGCTAAATTCTTGTCATTGTATGTCTACTTTAGACTAAAATTATGCTAAAGGAAATTTCCGCTGCAAAATTTTTGACTGCATGAGTACATGTACGTAGCGTTAATTAATCACAGGCCGAAGAGATACATATCTACAGTACATCTTTTCAATCTATTTCCTTTCTCTTTATACTCAATAAATTATATCATTTTTTTATATTTGACAGGTACTCACCAGTTCCTTTAATTCATTTCTCTTTCCCCATTTTATGTGCCTGTTTTGCAGCGTTAAACAATGGACATAGGAGACCAAGGTAAGAGCGAGATAAGTGATGATCACTAAGCGAGCCATCCTAACATACCACATAAAGCTACATTGGTCCTATCGGGGTAGCCCCACACCTTAAATCCTATCAACACACGATGGAGGTTACGATAGCAACAGTCTATAAAGATTAAGTGTTGATTGGGTGAAATGTGCTGTCCTTTGGGCAATTTTTATACGTCACCGCACAGGCGGGCATCAGATAGTGACCGAAAACATGTAAAGGTATTTATCACGTGTTTCTGGACGTAAGAGATATTTATTCTGATAAATTTGTTCATCTTTGTTTACCTTATTAAAACAAAAATATATTTTAAACAGTGTAGTTATTTCTCAACTGTCAAGACATCGATGATAAATTTCCTATTTAAGAAAAGGTTATCCTATATCCTAGATAATTCAATGTTTGCAAATTTTGTCACAATTTGTTGGTAATATATATATAGATTTGTATTGATCAGATTTATAGATTAAAATATGTATTTTTTATTTTCCTTGGAATGACTGCTACAGTTGCTTAACAAGGGTGAATTTGGCATCTAAGGTACGTTTCATTATATGGGATTATATGGGATTTTCATAATAGCAGAATGTTCAATTTACATATGGTGTACATACATTTTTTTCATTTTGCAAGTTCTATAGTCGACACAATGACCTTGTCAGCAAATACAAAATAACATTAATAAGAAATGCAATGCTGATTAACTTTTTTTTTCATTCAAAGTGTTAGGTACACTATATTTTCTTTGGATTTTTTTCGTTTTCCCACCCACACGCAAGAGCATGCTCTACGTATGAACAATTTCTAAAACGAGGTAAATTATTGACAAACAAGTTGATGAAACAAGAATATCAGCAGTCTCGTTTAAAGTTGTCATTTCGTAAGTTCTTTGGTTGATACAATGACTTTGTCAGCAAATACAATTTATCATTGAGTCAAATGCTGACTGATGTTTTTAATACTTAAATTATTGTTAGTCCATTATCTATTCGCTGAATTGACGACGGATCGATCTTTCCGTTATTACCCGATCATGACAAGGAGCACACGGCGGGTGTGACCGGTCGGCAGGGGATGCTCACTCCTCCATGGCACCTGTTCTTACCTCTGATAGTATAGGGCCCCTATTTTGTATGTTTCAATGGGCTTTTGAGATGGATTTCTGTTCGTAATCTCCATATAGCATTGCTACCTTTGGTCTGTAAAATGTATAACTTTTATGAACTTCTAAATATGAATTACAAAAAGATATATATATATTTTATTCGTTTATGAAACAATAATAAAGTTTTCAAATAATAAAGTGATTAAGAAAAATCAATCAAACGTGAAATATCAAACATGAAATATGGAGATAACGAAGAGCATTCAAGATCAAAGTCCGTTTTAACAATACAAATCAGGAGCAGAGCAAACAGGGAACTCCTCAAACCTCAGAGGTATATAGGTGAAGCTGCTATGGGGGAGTGAGCATCCCCTATCGAACGGTGAAGCTTGCCGTGTGCTCCTTGTCATGATCTGCAAAAATTAATAAACAATTCAGTGTGTAAACCTGCCATAATTATTGGTATGAAAAATTTTAGTCAGCATTTGCTGATGAGGTCTTTGCATCGACCATAGAACTTACGAAGTGATGACTTTAAACGAGACTGCTGATAAATCTATTTAATTAACTTGTTTGACAATACCTTGCCTCGTTTACGAAATTGTTCATATGGAGCATGCTATTGCGTATCGAATAGACTGAGAGATATAAACCCCATATGCAGGTGGTAAGAGTATATTGATACAGTAAGTAATGGAAGTTGATATTGTCATCACATTTATTAGCAAAAAATTATTGTTAGGTTATCATAAACGTGTTTTGCTGGTAAACTATTTAAATATGATATAGACGGGTCAGACTCAGTGGTATACTTTTATTTCAAGCCCACTTGAAAATAAAAATATATCTTAATTCAAAGTTACGTAACAAATATTTCTTTAAACTGGAAGTTTATCTATATATATTGAAATGTGCAGAAAAAGTTGCATTTTGAATTGCCACAGTTAAAAAACAAGTCCAAGCCAGAGAAATTGTCATGATTTTTTCATGTAGAAGGGTTTTTTTCCCCAATAAAGTCTGATTCATATGAATACAAACATAGACATGAAAGATTATATTCATTATCTCCATGTTTCATTCATTAAAATAATTATTACGAACAGTGAGCAGACTCCAAATGCAAATTGAAAGCAGAGCAAACACGTACCAGTAAAAACACTAGAGGTGGGATCAGGTACTGTGGGGGAGTCAGCATCTCTATAATGTCAATGAATATTCAGATTGAAAATATTGTATTTCCTGATATTGCCATTGCATCGACAATGGATCGAAAAACTAATAACTTGAAATAATAGTGTTGATATTATTGGATTACTAACTTAATTGTCAATAGCTCGTTGTAGAAATTGTAGACCACGTTCTGGCGTATCAAATCAGCTGGGAAGCATGATTCCATATCTGGGTGATAATAGTATATTGTTACACAAATAAGAGAAGCTGGTGATAGAAAAGTTAATTTTATTATATTTATAATAAATTGTTGTTAAGGTGGAATGACACACCAACTTTTTATTTTATAGATCTTAGAGTCAAACTTTTTGAACAATGGTTTCAGCATTGAAAGCCCGATATTAGCTCTTAATGATGTTATATTAATTTTTTTGTATTTTTTTTTAAAGAAAATAAAAAAATATTATTTATATATTATATACATATATCTTTATGTTGAATTGGTGGTTCGCAGCGAGACTTTTTCTTGAGTTATCCCTCTTGCAACAATAATCAAACCATTCGAACACTGTAAGCTAGTAACATTATGGTGAATTATACATGTACTTGCACATGTATATCACAAACTATGTCTTTACATTAACCATTCTGATTAATAGTTCGGCTTCCATTTTTTCCCGATTGTAATATTGTTTAAATTAATGTTTTCAATTCCCTTTTTTTTTTTTACTACAAAACATTTGATATTTAATATTATTTTTAGATTAAAGTACATGTAAGTATATTCCACACATCGTATGTAGAAGCAATCTGTAGGAAGAGAAGAAAATAATACAGATAATGAAAATATAAAGTATTTCTAAAGATGCATCCTTAAAAGAGATGGTTTTCTTTTTTATGCAAGGAAAAATGTTTTACTTTTCCTTCAATGGTTGTCTTGCATTTCAATTTTCATTGAAATTGAATTATTTAATCATGCAGCAATAGAAATAGATGACGAGATAAACTTTACTTTGAAAAACTTGTAATGGATTACTAAAACATTATTTTTGGCTGGCTTGCAATTGTTTTCTACAAATTGTTAGGCTTTTCTTTTTATAGGGAATTTAAATACGAAATGTTCCGTCAATCTGATCAATACACAGGCCTTACGTTGGGTGTGACCGGTCACAGGGAATGCTTACTCCTCCTAGGCACCTGATCTCATCTCTGTAATGCCTAGTGGTTGTGGTTTTATGTCCTTTTCATTAAAAATTCAAATCTCCAAATACAATATGCCTACAATGAAAGATATAGAGATAACAAATAGGATTCAAGCTCAAAAGTCCGTTAAACAATACAAAATAGGAGCAGAGCAAACACCGACCTCCAAAACATTAGAGGTGGGATCAGGTGCCATGGAGGAATGAGCATCGGTCACACCGCTTTGTGCTCCTTGCCATGATCAGGAAATAACGGGGAAATCCGTCGTCAATTCAGTGTGTAAATAATGAACTAACAATAAGTAGGAAAAAAGTCAGTCAGCATTTGACTCAATGATAAATTGTATTTGCTGACTTTGTCATTGTATCTACCATAGAACTTATGAAATGATGACTTAAGACAAAACTGTTGATATTCTTGTTTCATCTACTTGTTTTTCAAAAGTCTACCTCGTTTTAGAAACTTTACATACGCAGAGCATGCTCTTGCGTATCGAATCAACGGAGAGATATAAACATCGTATGCAGGTGATGGAGGTACATGTATATTGCTGCATAAGTAAGGAAAATTGACGATTGAAAAGTTAAAGTTATCACATTTATCATAGAGCTTGGTTCTTTTAATATAGAGATATATTTTAACAAGCTCTCCGTTGTAATATATTTTGCAAAATCTTATAAATATCATGAATTATTACCGATTGGTTGATTATAGATTAATTTAGAAGGAATATAGATTTTTAGATATCTACTTAAATTAAAGTAATAGAGGTCAGGATTAACTGACCCTTACAATGTTATTGACTAAACAATAAACATTTGATCAAACTTAAGGAAACCATAATTGAAGGTAATTGTGTTATAATTAGAATGAATGAAATAATAAAATAAATTAACATATAATATTTCGTGATAGGAGAACATTGCATGCATTACACCTGCCCCTTAATGTTATACTATCAAAGTGCAATAACAGTTACTCACTCTTTTATAACAACAGTAGATTACATTCTAATGAGGTCTCTCTAGATTCAGATTCATTGAAGCTGAAATATATTTTTTTTTCTAATTCCTATAGCAGGTGTATTTTATGCAGTCTATTCTGTGAATTCGGTTCCTTCCCTGCCTTTGGATACTAGACCTTTATCGCATGGTGCTCTCTGGAATAATCGTTACAGGGGCAGTTTTCGCAACTGCTAAAAATCACTTGAAGTGAACCGAATATGAAATGTTAAACATTTTCTAATTTACTGCAGACTGGTTCTCTACTGTGGTAATGAGGCATAGATCTCGCTTTGGTTGAGTGGTCTTCTACATCTGAATACGTGCTAGTGTTCTGTTGAAATGAAGACAATTGGTTTCCTCTTCCTCAAAGCCGTATTGGTTAATAACATTAATTTCATGAAATTAGAAAATGAAATTTATCATACAAATTTACCTTTTCCTTTCATTGAAGATGAGAAAAAGCTTGTTAATATCATCCAAGTTTGCATGACAAAAAGCTATTATCTTACGACTTTTGAGATGAAAAAGTATATAATATAAAATTCAAAATACTTCAGTTCAATTTAAATAAGGGAAACAA